AGTGACAGCCACATACACATGCACAAACACATACAACATATTGCCTGTGATTTTCAAAGTCCTACAAGAGGGAAGAAGTTAGCATCACTTGAACAGTTAATGTTTCCCAACTTTGTAGGTTCCATGAGAACACTGCGGGGGCACCCCAGGTAGATGGAATACTATCGACACCGCTGCGGGAAGGAGGGAATGTGAGAGCACACGCTGGGATTGGGGAGCGACACCGGAGCAGCCCAGCTGGAGAGATGAAGCCTGAGAGGCCCACCAGGGCTTATCAGTCCCTGAAGGATGTGAGGCTGGAGAATCCTTGACCCAAATCTATACTGTTAGATTCATTTGGGGTGAAGGGGATGGGAAGATTGGTAGCCAGAAAATTATAGACAAATGGACACTGTTTGATCATGGGAAAATAGGAAACAACTAGATTAAGGTAATGACAGCAGGTTGAATGGAAGATATCTTTGGACAGCATTTAGAAGGCAGAATTGATGACATTTGGTCACTAATTTGATATGGCATTAAGGGTGAGAGGATTCCAGAATGACTTCTGACTTGACACTCCATCTGAATAACTGTACCACCCACCAATATGGAGAATACAGGAGAAGTATGTTTGGGGAGAAAGATGATGAATTCATATCTGCCCACAATGAGTCTGGAGCATTTGTGTGCATCCAAGGGGAGGTATCTGTAAAGATAGGTGAATTTGTGGATGTGGAGTCAGATGTGGTCGGGGCTGAACTCAGAGATGGGATATTAAAAATAAACTCTTAACACGTTAAGCGCCATATCAGTCACCGGTGACTGATACTATACTTTCCATCCAGAAGATAAAACAGGCTGGACACTTAATGTGTTAATCTGTATAAAATGGGAGGAGAGCAAAAAATAAAAAAATAAAAAATAAAAAATAAAAAAAATAGAACCTTTGAGAGCCTCAACATTTTCATAATAGACAGATGAAGGCCATAAAACATGAAATATTGCCTCTGGAATCATAGAAGGCAAGTATGATAAGAGTTTAATGATGGAGGAAGTAGTCATCAACCATCAAATGCTGAGAAATCATCAAGTAAATAAAATAAATACATGTGTCAATGAGGACATCCCTGGTGACCTTTCCAAGCACAGCTCCAGGAGAATACGAAGGACAGAAGGCAGAATTTGGTGCTGTGAGCAGAGAATAGGAAGTGAAGCAGAGAAAGTCAGTGTTCACTAATATTTCAGTGAGTTGACAATGAGAGGGAGGTGAACATTTATTTGATTAACAGGGGAGAAACTATTTTAAGGAAGGGATGTGTTTGTTTCATGGTATGGTTTGGCCTGTATCTGCTGATGTAGCCAGATTTGTGGGGACCTGGAGAGGGTCACAAATAAAGATGTCAAAGGGAAAGTTGTGGGATCCAGAGTGGAAGTAGTGGTGGAACTGGTCTAGGAGCTCCTGCTCCCTTGAATTGAGAAAGTAAGATTTATGCAATTGTAGATAAGTGGTTGGTTAGTTGAGTTGGGTGGGTGGTGAGGAGCAGATAATCTTAATGCAGAGCCAATTAAAATGTGAAATTCTCCGCGAGTCTAAAGAGAGCAGCGAAGGTTGGAAAGGGCATTGATAAGAATGGAAAAGCTTTAATATATTTCAGTAGTATAATTAGGAACCCCTTTAAAAAAAATTAATCCTAGTCTGTATATGTGGAAATATGGGATCGTGACTGACTGTCAGGTAAAGAAATTCTAATTACCGTATTTTTCGGACTATAAGACACTCCGGACCATAAGACGCACCAGTTTTTAGAGAAGGGAAATGAAGAAAAAAAGATTCTGAAACAAATAGTGTCCTAAAATATTTTATGTGCATTAAAACCCAACATCACAGTCATAAACACATGTAATCAACCCTGTAAAGTAAACAGCAGCATTTAGAACCATTTTAGAGCCGGGCAAGCACACACAGACCACAAAGAGCCGGGCAAGTAAAAAAACTTTTTTTTAAAAAGTATATGTGTAGGCTATATTTGGACCATAAGACGCAGGGACTTTCCCCCCCCACTTCTGGGGGGAAAAAAGTGCGTCTTATGGTCTGAAAAATACGGTACATGTTTCCTTGCATAAAAGAGTACACTTCGCGGCTTCTCTATGCAAGATGACACTTCTAGCTCCCTCCTGAAAAAGACATGTTCTTTGAGTTCTTCTAATAACAGCCGTGATGGCCTTTAAATCCCCAATGATTTGATTGATGATTATAAGGATTTAGAATGGAAGCTTTATCCTTGGAACAGTTTTCCTTCAACACTAACTTACCTATTCTGTCAAACTCCAAAAGTCTTAGCATGCTGGCACCAGGCAGGGCCACGTTTATATATGACAGCATTCTATTTTAAACTATGATCTATCTCAGCTTCTTAAATTGTAAGCTACACCTTTCATGTCAAATTTTCCAAAGGCTTGCATAACAAGCATATGAAAAAAAAACCCACACTCATAAATGCTCCCCAGTAGAGAAACCGCACATGTAAATACCTGTTTATATATGCAGTAACTTGAATTATACATGAAAATTCCACATGGATGCCCAGAATCAGCACTGTGTTAATTCAAGAAGTATACCAAAATTTTTGGATGTATTTAGTAGCAGAGCCTAAGAAAAATCTGTCATATAAACAGAGTTTTCTTTTTTAAAAAAATCTGCTAGTTAGAATCTACTGTTTCAAGGAATCTACTCTTCCTAGGGAAAAAAGTAATCGGTAATAAAACATTAATCTTATAACACGTTTTTTAAATCCCGGGAAGCTCCATAATTAGATCCTTTAAAGAGCCTGTAAGACTGTAAATTTTCCCCATTCTATAAAATGTAACAGTCATATTGAAAATAAAATATAAATGATAAATGTCAGTTGCAGAAGTTATCTATCACCTTTTCATTCGAATGCTTGACTTCTATTGGCTAACTCTCTTCCAAGAGCCCTTCTTGGGAAAAAGAGGTGACAGCCAACTCATTGCCTAATTGATTTAGGAACAGTGCCCAGGGAGACAGTCCAATTAAGTTTACAAGCTGGCAATTAGCAGGGAGCCCTCTAAATCCCTACACTGAGAGCCTGTTTACTTTAGTAAGAAGGCAAATGTGCTAGAGATAGGAAGAGAAAGCTGTGCTTTTTGCAAAGCTGTTGTTAGTAGGCCCACAAGGGAGGGCTGAAGAAGAGCTAGGTATATGTGGGCAGACAGCCTTCTGTTTGACAGGTAACTGGGTAATTTATAGTGTGTGTGTGTGTGTGTGTGTGTGTGTGTGTGTGTGTGTGTTTTAACAGGCACGCAAAACATCTAACATCTACTTTAATGAGTGTTGTATATGGAGACATACAACTGTTAAAAATGCAGTGGGGCAAAGTCGAACTGGATTATCTCATAATAAGTGAAATTACAAACATTTTTTTCTTGGACAATATTAACATTATGAATAGATGTAGTTGCATTTTTATAATGCGAGAGAAGAAAAACATAACCCTCACATTATATCTGTATCTTTCAGGTTAATGAGGTCATTTTCACTAGATTTATTTCATGTGTTCAACTTCAGAGGCAAATAGATCCATACAAAAACAAAGTAAACTGAGGAATACTTAATAAACATTATTATAATGTCTTTTAAAACTTAACTTTATACCAGAGCCAAATCCTGTCAGGGGGTTTAAAATGTATTCACTTTTTAAAGTTTTCAAGTAGTAATAATGTGCATTAATTAAAGTCTGTTTTTTCAAACCTAAGCAAAGATCTCTCAAGAATTTTAAATTATATAAAACTACCTAAAGAATATATTTCAGGGGAGAGCTGGTAATGGAAAACCACAAAAGGCAAATATATTGCAAGTAGAGGCCTGGTGCACGACATTCATGTACTGGGGGGCCGTAGGTGGGGGAGCGCCCTACCGCCCAGCCGGCACCCTTTTCCAGGATGCCCTTTTGTCAGGAGCCCTCGGAGGATGTCTGGATGTCCAACTGACATTCTTAGTGCTGCAGCAAAGGTGGGCCACTGTGCTTGCCAGCTGTTAGCCTAGCTTCTGGCTGAGCGGTGCTCCCCCTGTGAGAGCGCACTGACCACCAGGGGTAGCTCCTGCATTGAGCGTCTGACCCCTGGTGGTCAGTGCGTGTCATAGCGACCAGCCATTCTGCTGTTCATTAATTTGCATATTACCCTTTTATTATATAGGATAAAATTTTGTTTTAACATTTCCTGAATGAAATGGGCTGAATGAATACACACATTTCATAACATTGTGAAATCCTTTTGAATTTTTAAGCTAAAGGGTAACAAAAAAGTTACACAAATATCTTTACCAAAAGCTAATTAAACATTTGCTTTCCTTTCTTTCAAAACACTTATTTTACAATTCCAATCTGGTAATAGATACCTATAATCTAAAATATTTTTAAAAAATAAAGTATTACAGTCCTACAAAGAATTTATTAATGGACATATTAAGTGCTTTTAAAATATTCGCCAGGTAGCTCAGTTGCTTAGAGCATTGTCATGACATACCAAGGTTGAGGTTCAGTCCCGGGTCAGGGCATATACGAGAGACAACCTAGGAATGCATCAAGTGGAACCACAAATCGATGTCAATGTCTTCTCTCTTCCCCTCTCTCCAAAATCAATCCATAAACATTTTAAAATGCTAAACAAAATAATCACATACCTATATTTTAAATATTTTTTTTTTTGGTGGACAGTTTATTTTGGAAAGTGTCAAATGTGAAATTTCAGGCTTTATTCATCACAATGAATACTTAGTGTAATTTCCGAATTCTTTAATATCAGTGATATTAAAGAATGTTTCCTGGCATTTAGAAAATCATCCACAAAGCGTTAAGGAAAGTATATGAAATGTATGAAAGGCAAGCATATTTATGGGATGACAAATAGAAAATACATTCCAAGAATAGTTTTATTGTCTTACTTATAATCTCACCATCGTAAACACTTTAATTGACTTACCAACTCCGCTGACTTACCAAGTTTAAATAAAAGAACACCCATAGGTCCTCTGTTGAACTTGAGGAAGAGGAGGTCACAGATGTCCTCACTTTCGGGCTTTTGAGAAACCACCTGTGGAGCTACCCACTGCATTTGGACGAGACTGCTGGAAACACTGAAAAACATACTGAACTGCAGTGTCTCCTTGGGTGAGCGGTCTTCGGCCAGGAGCTGGATGTTAATAGGGGAGAGAGCCATATCAAAAATTTGCAGCTCTCCTTGGATGCTGCCAACTAGCAGAATGGTGCCACCCGGGTGGCAGCTCATTAATGAAGGCAAAAGTTCAGCCTGGGCTAAGAGAGTCACTCTACGGTGAGTGTCATAAAGAATCACTGAGGAATCTTCACAGCCCAGAATCAGTTTGTCCTCAGTAACATTCCTGCAGCAGCTAATGGCCTTGGACCTTAGTGGTATTCTGGTGACGGAGACGCACTGGATTTTGTTCCGAACACATTCATAGATGCAGCTGTCAGCCATGGGCTCTTTGTCGGCACTGAGGGAGCGCTCCACGGTCAGCACCTGGTAGGTCTGTTTGGTGCCAAAACAAACATCCAGTGGATCCCATTCCGTGCGGACGGAACTCAGAACCTGTAAGAGATGAGTCACGTATGTTCACACACAACTTGGGTTTTCTTCAGCTGCCACACATAGGCCTCATGTTAATCTAGTATCCTATTGAAGATAATCAATTATCACCTTAAACATTAGAAATATATAAGTATGTGTCACATAGAACACATATGTAAACACATATATGGCACATACAGAGCATAGTTGCAGAAATCAAATATATGGCACATACAGAGCATAGTTGCAGAAATCAAATTTAACTTGACCACATTGTTTTAGAAAATCTAACTAAAAGACAAATATGTCCCAGTATATGTAAAAACAAATAAGGCGGGATTTTAGTAAAATAGTACAGTTAGCAGAATATCTAAAACTACTAAAAGTGTGATTGTGGGGTGTTTGGGTTTTACTTTCATTTTTCTCCTTCTCTTTAATCTATTTTTATTATTGACAGTACAACTTGAAAGAATTAAGTGAGTCTCCTTCCCACACACTATCCTACCCAATTCTGAAATTACTGTTAAATTATTTACTAGAAATATATTTCTAATTAGTAGTACAGAGTAGGCAAATAGAAAAAAAAAACTTTAGAACTCTAATAAGAATCTTGTACAAATAGTTTACTGTCAGACAAGATATGAATGGTTAAATAGACAAATGACCAACAGGAAAAAATAGTAACGTAAATGTTTTAAAAATAAAAAATTAAGAGCTAGTAAGTAATATGAATTGTCAGTATTTGTTAAGCAAAATTTTAAAAGCATCTTTGGTGTAGAAGGGAAAGGCTACAAGAAATACCGAGGCAGAGGAATAAAAGCAAAAAACAGCAGGCCATTCAGTTTATTCATATGGAAATGTGGGAGGCCAAGAACCTGAAGAGCAGCATTCAAGTGGGTTTAGATATACACTAACACTGCAAAGCCTTCAAAGTCAGATGCAGAACTATTAAAAAAGCACACCTGTATACATATAATAAAATTTCATAGAACTATACACACACATACATGCACAGAAGTGCATATAAAGTCTGGTGAAATCCAGCGAAGACCTGTATCAGAATTAATCCAAGGTCGCTTTCCTGGATTTCACAATGGACTGTGGTAATGTATCTAGTATTTACTCCAATACTATCATTGGGGCAATAGGGAGAAAAGCATAGGAAAGGAATTTGCTTTTAGCAATGTAAGCAATTATTTTAGCAGTTTCTCAAGAGTAAATGATTTCAAAATGAAAAGGCTTCTTGTTTTGTCTGTTTTAAAGTGTATACATAAGGCTGGCTATTGGAAGCAAAGTGGGGGTGGCAGGAGGGGAAGAGTAGATGTTAATTCTCCTTTTTTAAAAATATATTTTTATTGATGCCGAAACCGGTTTGGCTCAGTGGATAGAGCATCGGCCTGTGGACTGAAGGTCCCAGGTTTGATTCCAGTCAAGGGCATGTACCTTGGTTACAGGCACATCCCCAGTGGGGGGTTTGCAGGAGGCAGCTGATGGATGTTTCTCTCTCTCATCAATGTTTCTAACTCTCTATCCCTCTTCCTCTCTGTAAAAAAATCAATAAAATATATTTTTTAAAAGTTTTAAAAAATCTTTTTATTGATTTCAGAGAGGAAGGGAGAGGGAGAGATAGAAACACTAATGATTAGAGAAAATCATCAATTGGTTGCCTCCTGCATGGCACCTTCTGGGGATTGAGCCTGTAACCCAGGAATGAAAGGCGACCTCCTGGTTCATAAGTCAATGCTCAACCACTGACCCACACTGTCCAGGCTTTCTTTTCCTCCCTCCCTTCCTTTCTTCCTCCCTCTCTTTTTTCTTTTCTCTCCCTTCCATTTTCTTTCTCCCTCGTCCTCCCTCTCCCCTCTCTTCTTCTCTCCTTTCATGTGAATTTTTCTTTTAAAAATCCATTTTAAACATCATCACCAAATGAATCTTCTAAACTAAATGTTTTGCTCTTATTCTTCCATTCAAAGTCTGCATTGGCTACCCACCCACTAATGAATTAAAATGTTATTCCTCATCCTGGAATGCAAAAGCCTGCAGGACCTATATTTAAACTCATTCCCTTCCTCACACTCTGTCCTTGTTTTTTCGTGTGTGTGAGTGTGTGTGTGTGTGTGTGTGAGTGGTGTGTGTGTGTGTGTTTCTAATAAGTATTTGGGTATGAGATATGTGTCAGGCACAGGTCCTGGGGTCCTGGGGTCGCAGCAGTAAATCCTCACCTCAGAGAATACACACTCCAATGGTTGAAAACAGGCAATGATTCACAAGCAAACATCCACAGAATGTTAGTAAACCCATATACCCACTTCCTAAGTTCTGTGAAGAATAAAGCAAAGCAAGCAGAATGTGGAGCAGCAGGAATGGGGAGGGGAGTTCACATAGAGAAGTCAGGACAGGCCTTTCTGATGAAGGTGATCTGAAAGTGCAGCCATATGGGAGAAGAGAGCCCTGAGCAGAAAGGAAACGAACTCCTTGAGGTGGAGCTCTTAGCCTGAGAAAGGAACCACCGAAGACTGGCCCGGGTAGAGAAGAGGGAGCAAGGAGGACAGTGGTAAAACTGGGAGAGGGAAACATATGCCATAACAGCTTGTAGGCTACTTTGTAGGGACTGGCTTTTTCTCTAGATGAGATGAGAAGTCATAAGCAGAGGAGGGACAGGATCTGACTTGCAAATTCTAGTGTTAACTCCCCCAGTTTCCCCTCCTTACCCTATTCTGAGTTCAAACTCAAACATGCCCTGCATTTTCCCAGCTCTGTAACTTGTGAAATTAATTAAACAAGGAGGCCCTAAGACTGATGTGGCTCCAATGCCATGATGGCCTACATAAGCAAACCAAAATCTAAGCTTATAAATGCCTCAAAGTTAAAAACCAAACCTCGAAGGACAACCAATTAGGCTTTAAGCTATAGCCAGTCAAATAATGTCCTTTCTTTGCTTCTGCATTATCTACACTATTAAAAGAGAAATATGCAAGCTGACCATACCACCGCAACACTCACCAGCCAATCAGGAGTGACTATGCAAGTTAGCCCAACAAAGATGGAGGATTAATTTGCATACACAGGTGCAAATCGGCGAGGGTGGGGTGGCTGCTTATGTGCATGCGTGCCTGCACCAAGCATCCTGCATCCCGGAGACAGGTGTCCTCAGGAGCCAGGCTGCTCTGAGCCGGTATGCCTGTGCATAGGCAGGGAGCGGCTGGGGTCCTGAAACACCCCCCCTGGCCACTCTGGGCCTATGCACGCAGGCACAGAGCAGCCTGGGGCAGGGTGGGAACATACCCAGGACTCAGATGCTCCAAGCCAGCACGCGTGCAAATGGCCAGGGGCGGGTGAGAACGTCTCCTGCAGTGAGCGAGCAGACAGCAGGGCCCTGCTTACCTCTGGCCATGGCAGCAAAGAGCAAGCAATCCCCTGTAGGGCCCCCACAAAGAGTAGACACCAGGGCCTGCAGTGGCGTCAGCAAGCAGGTCCACAGAGAGCAGAGAACCACAGGGAGCAGGCCTGTGCTGACAGTAGGACATCTCTTGAGGACTTCCAGATTAGAGAAAGTGCAGGTCAGGCTGAGGAACCTAGCCCCCTGCATGAATTTTGTGCACCGGGCCCCTAGTTCTCTATATAAATCTTTCCCCTGACGCCTGTCTGTGGAGTGCTTCTAGCCACTTTTGAGTCTGACGATGACTGATTAGAATAGATTTTTGGTCAAATAGCACTTAAAAGATTTACTATGCTTTGGTCTATTAAAAACTTTACTTGTGTCCTTTGCCTGAAATTCACATTCTTCACCCTTTTAGAACAAAACCAGAAGCTATTATATTGTAGTTTCTGGATTCCTTCCAGCTAGGTGGCATCCTTCCTTCCTTGGATCTCACGTCCATACTCCTTTCCCCACTCCAGCTTGGCCGATGACTCTCTGGTGACATTTGGCTTTTACTTTTTATTTAATTTCTTTATTGATTAAGGTATTATATATATGTCCTTATCTCCCCATTGCCTCCCAAACCACCACTCATGCCCTTAATCCTCCCCCCCTTGTCTGTGTCCATTGATTAGGCTTATATGCATGCCTACAAGTCCTTTGATTGATCTCTCTCCTTACCCCCAACCTCCCCCACCTTTCCTCTGAAGTTTGATGGTCTGATCAATGGTTCTCTGTCACTGGATCTGTTTTTGCTCATCAGTTTATGTTGTTCATTATATTCCACAAATGAGTGAGATCATGTGATATTTATCTTATTCTGACTGGTTTATTTCACTTAACATAATGGTCTCCAGATCCATCAATGGTGTTGCAAATGGTAAGAGTTCCTTCTTTTTTACAGCAGCATAGTATCCCATTGTGTAGATGTACCATAGTTTTCTAATCCACTCATCTGCTGATGGGCACTTAGGCTGTTTCCAAATCTTAGCTATGGTGAATTGTGTTGCTATGAACATAGAGGTGCATATATCCTTTCTGATTGGTGTTTCTAGTTTCTTGGGATATATTCCTAGAAGTGGGATCACTGGGTCAAATGGGAGTTCCATTTTTAGTTTCTTTGAGGAAACATCATACTGTTCTCCACAGTGGCTTCACCAGTCTGCATCCCCACCAGCAGTGAATGAGGGTTCCTTTTTCTCTGAATCCTCACCAACACTTGTCATTTGTTGATTTGTTGATGATAGCCATTCTGACAGGTGTGAGATGGTACCACATTATCATTTTGACTTACATCTCTCCGGTAAATAGTGACTTTGAGCATGTTTTCATGTCTGTTGGCCTTCCCTCTGTCTTCTTTCTAAAAGTATCTATTTAGGTCCATTGCCCATTTTTTTTTATTGGGTTGTTTATCTTCCTGTTGTTAAGCTGTATGAGTTCCCTGTAAATGTTGGAGATTAAACCATTATTGGTAAAAAGGGTTTAAAAGATATTGCTTCACCATGTGTCTGAAATTTTGCTGCCTGTGGATTCCGCTAGTATTGTTTTGGTTTCCTTTAAGTCATTTATCCATTTTGAGTTTATTTTTTGTGTATGGTGT